GTTGTCTTGCAGGCTCTTGGGGGTTGGTCTCGCTGGGTTCCAGCTTTTCGGAGCGACACTGGGGCCAGTACTGCTGACCCTTAATGGAACATGTGCTGTGCCCCGTGACTGCAGTGGAGTGCACGGTGTGGCGGCCCATAGACCCTGACGGTGGCGGCACCCACACGTGCCATTTTGGGCTTACCCTGCGGGGAAGCCGAATTTTATCGTCAATCCTCAATCCTCAATCCTGAGCCTTCGATACAATTTCAGAGAATTTAGCGTGAATCTTGTTGCAATTACCGAGCCGAGAAGCACAAACTGGAGAAACTCTGGAGAAGCGACGGAACATTGCAGTTGCAACATCCATAAACAGGACCGCCCTCAGCCTCAGTCCCCAATGACGGTCGTGGCGGTACGGGCTGGCAAGGGTGCTGATGGTGACGATAATGATGATGGTGCTGGTTTGACGAGAGCGATGACGACATTGATGAACATGATGTTGATCAAGACTGTTACTTTACGATGATGTTGCTCTCGAGGATGATGACTTTGATGCTGCTGATGATGATGATGATGACGATGATGATGATGATGGCAGCGATGGTGATGATGCTCAGGGCCATTCTTTGTGGCCACTGCTCTGACACCTCACCTACCATGCCTCATCAGTTTTCTACAGGCCCTCGAGCTCCTTAACTTCGCGAAGGGGCCCCAGCTGCTGCAGGACGATGGACATCTATAGACCTTAGAAGCCTTGACGTGGGCCCCGAAGCTTCTTGGAATAGTTGGTATGCAAGGTTTAGGAGGCGTGGAGGAGGTTTCAGATGCCTTGTTTCGACTTGTGCCTTTGTTAAAACAAATGGGCAGTGTTGATGTCAGGTTTCGCCCACCTCGTCGCCAGTCCAATACCACTACTCGAGACAACCACGCGGCGTCTAGCGGCTGCTAGACTAGCTTCGACTTCCTGTAATGGTCCAGCAACAAGTCACATTCCAGGTCTTGTTCGTGCCAATGTATAAGCGGACGAATGTCACTAGGTCGGTTGCACGATGTCACGGAACGGCCCGGAACGGCTGGAATACGTAACATGCTTTGTAAAGTCAGGGGCATAAGCAAAATCCACCGAAGTGTTGAATGAAGCAGAGGTTGGATTCTTGGTTTGCAGATGAACGGGGCGAACCGAACCTGGCATAGATATTAGGGATTCTACTACCATTTTAGGGTATATCCTTTATAGGAACCGTATTATAATACCCTGGTCTAAGCATGGTGTTCATGCAGCTACATCTGACAACACCTTTGCAGAAACCGTTGGACTTATTGTTCTGTGAACCAATTGCCCAAGCCCTGGTGAAGGTTCTGAACAAAGCACAGAAACTGCTGGGAGCAAAGGGCCAATGTGAACAGCCCCACACAGAGATACCGAATCAAGATGCAGGTGTCGAAAAACAATCTTGACTCTGCCAGCAAAAACTAGTATGCAGATGGGCTGGAAGCACTTAGACAAGTTCAGGGCCCATCGCAATGCGAAACTCCTTCGGGTCTCATTGACAGGATGCGTACTTCGGTGTGAGACTTGACATCGCGTTGCACTGTCTGGAGTCCAGTGGCAGTGCACGCTCGGCTTTTGTCTGAGACGAACATCTTACAGCAATCATGATGAAAGCCGTTGTCGGTGGAACTGCACCGCAACGGCAATGTCTCCTTGTTAACACGACAAGTGCTGCTTCTGCCTCGGCTCCCTATACTCTCAAGATCCTGGTTCAGGAGCGGACGCTGGAGTTCAGGACCGACTTTTCGGATTCAGTCCGGAGGGATTCGAGGTTTAGGGGTTACCAGGGTCTAGTTTTATCTGTGGCATCAGGGTGAGATGTGATCTGTGAGCCTCAGGAAACCAAGCTAAGAGGAGAATCTTTGACCACAAAAAGCAGACTCGGTGGAGCCGGGCACGCATTTGTAGCCACTGCAGAGATTTGTTGTTTTTTTTGTTTGCCGGCAGCCGCACGCATTCCGTCCCCACTGCGATATTCCTGCTTGAGCGCGGTGGCAGGACGACAAGGTCGGGGGATTTCGATGGCGTGCACATGCATCTGCATGTGGACCTGGACGGCGCAAACAGCTGCTCGCCAGACCGACCCGTTTGATGTGATTCGTTCTACCAAGCACAGCGTCCAAGCATGAGCAAATCCCGAAGATCCGGAATCGTTTTGCTTCATTTGTCTGGTCTAAATTCCTGAGGCATCGATGTCCTTGGAGCTCATAGTGGGCCAGACTCGGTGCCTGGGCAGAATTTGGCAAATCGGTGGCCACAACAGGGGCACCTATGCTCATCGCAAACTCAAAACTAAAATTCTCACAACGTTGGGATTGAAAGCAGCGATGCCGAGGCGGCATATCCTCACAGGTACGTGGCCTGAACCCAATAGCTTCAAGCTCGCTTGAGCGTCGAGGCAAGTGCTAACATGTCTCTCACGAGGGTAGCTCAGGGCCCTCCTCTTCCTGCTACCACCATGACTCCATGACCACGATCACATGTCTCTTCGGAGTTCCTTGTCGCGCTGCAAGTGCGAGCACTGCGGCGTTCGGTAAGACTGTGTTGTACATAAATACGTACAGATGCGTTCGCATCGACAAGCTGTGTATGGCAGATTGAGCAGCAGAGATGTTTGCATCGCAAGGACTCGTCCTGGTCCACCGTCTACATTCGTTTGCTGTCGAAGCCGATGGCCCTGACTACTGGCAGTCGCCGCTGGAACGGAAACGGGGTGGGGGGGGTGGGGGGTCTGAAAGGTCGATTTCAACGGATCTTGGAGTCCAACTAACGGGGGTTTAGCTTTCCATATTCTCTGGCTATTTTCGTAATTTTGCGGTGTTTCTGAATTTTCAGAGGGATTTTCGAAACTCAGGTCTTCCGCGCTAGGCTCGGTGGATGCCCCCCTCTTGTGTCGAGTGTCGTTGACGCAGGAGCTACATTGAATGCAACTGAATGCTCTGTGATTAGTATTGAATGTGTGAGAACGGAAACCAAGAGTATCACTCCGCATCTGTTGAGCTCAGGGCAACCGGCTGCAGAGCTTGTAGACAGATTGAAACTTCAATTCCTGGTAGAAGCTACTGTCATGTCCAGATTCTCTACACCATTCGTCGTTGACGCAGCATTCGTTCGATGTAATCGGACTGCTGTACTGTAATGGTTCCCACCAAGAAGCTGCGCCTTTGATCTTTAGGTGTCAAGGAAAGGTTAATCAAGTTGTCGTGCCGCTGGAAAGATGAATGGCAGGTGATCACATGTCGAGTTCCTCCGCATGCCAAGCCCGAAAGCTTGAGTCCGAGCAGTGCCGGCTCAAACCGAAAGTGGCTAGCCGAAAAGCCGAAGACCCCAAGCCATGGGCTTCAACATCTATGACGAACTGCCAGTGCCTGTGTCTAAGTACCATGGCACTGAGAAGCAAGTCCTGGCCGAGATTTTTCTGCAGCATGCTCAGGGTGGCGCTTTACCAGTGACGCCCTGGTATGATGCAAGCAAGTCCTTAGCCCGCGAGTTCCCTGAGCAGCTCGGATGCCTGGACGATCCCGCTATCCTCGGGCGTGTCTTTCAGATGATCGACGACAACCATGACGGGATCCTGGATCCTGACCCCGAGCTCTAAACCCTATAATAATATAAGCCCTCAAAACCTGATTAAACCCTAGGCCCTATAATCGATAGCTCAACCCAAAGCCCTTACGGGAGGACGAGTTCGTGAATGGCATCCACGAGCTCCTGCACCCCACCACCCAGGAGGCCAAAACGCTCCGCGCTCGCATTGCTAAAGCAGTGCTTCCAGCAGTCGAGAACGACTTTGGTCATGTGAAGTCCGTCGCGATTATCGGCGCCGGAGTCGCCGGACTGCAGGTGGCCCGAAGGCTCATGGAGATTGGGATCTCTTGCACCATCTTCGAGAAGTCCGAGAATGTGGGCGGCTGTTGGCAGAAGAACTATGCAGACTTCGGCCTTCAGGTTCCCAAAGAGCGTTTTGAGTTCCCTGACTTCCCCTACCCCGACGACTTCAAGTGCGATCTCTTCCCCACGGGACCAGAGGTACAGGCATACATCGAGCTGTATGCCAAACCTTCAAGCTCTATGAAATCGCGCAGTTCAAGACCACGGTCGTCGAACTGCAGCCGTCTGGCGGGCAGCGAGGCTGGACGGTGGTCTTCGAGAAGGAAAAGCAGCGCTCCTCCAAAGCCTTTGACTACCTGGTGGTCGCGACTGGGATGTACAGCTGGCCGCCGCACATCCCCCTGGCTCGAGACGCATCGAACTTCAAGGGCCAGATCCTACATTCCTGCACATTCACCGATCGCAAGGTTGCATCAGGCAAGAAGGTCGTCGTCGTCGGGGGTGGCAAGTCTGCAGTTGACAATGCAGTTTCCGCCGCCAAGGAAGGCTCCCAAACTACCCTTGTATGCAGGTCGTGGCATTGGCCGGTGCCGCGTTACTTGCTGAACTTGGTCCCTTTCAAGTATGCGACCTATAGCCGCTTCGGGCATTGGTTCGTGCATCCTCACCACGGAGAAGGCGCCACTTCTACATGGTTCCATGGTACTTGTGCTCCGGTGAAGTGGCTGTGGTGGCGTGCTGTCGAATTCATGTTCCGTGGCCAGTTCCAGATTCCCAGCAGCATGATTCCCGAGGAAGGCATTGAGACAGACCTATTCAGCGGCGGGCAGATCTTGAATTACGATTTCCGAGACATGCTCAACTCCGGGAAAATCCAGACAATTTGTGGCGCAATCGACAAGTTCACTGGAACAGGTAAGGGATGATATCAGAAACCATTATCAGGTTTGGGGGGAAGCCCGTCCCTAAGTGGAAATGGAAGCCAGCGCCTTGTAAAACGATAAGGCCCAACAAGTCATAAATAAAGCAGTGCCGGTGTCAGAACGCTTTACGGATCTGTACCGCTTTTAGATGCTTTTAGCAGCCCTAGCAGTTTGGATCATATCTGGTGGGGGTCTGTGATGATTTATTCAGCAGTTTAGGCCAAAACTGGCGGGGATCAGTGGTTTAGGCCATGTCTTGTAGGGAAACTCTGCCGCCTTAAGCAATTTAGGCCGTGTCTGGTATGGATCTGTGCTGGTTTAGGCAGCTAAAGGCGTATCTGGTGAGGATCTGTGCTGCTTTTTCTGGCAACCTGGTAGGGAATCTGTGCATAATGAGACACCTTTCCGCAGCGGCAGTTGGTGGAACCTTCTGGGTGCGCCGGGGGCGCGTCTCACACGAACAACAGCCACCCTGTGTGGGGAGTGGCTTGTTAGAGTCCTGGAAGACGATAATGAAAAGAACGCTGGATCCGAAAGTCCGAAGTCCTGTAGAAGGGAAAGAGTAAAACAACGAAAACCGGGTTGAGAGTTGAGGGAATGGGTGGGCTTTCACACAGCACCCTCAGGTGTCGTGCTCGTCGACGGGAAAGAGTTGGACGCAGACATGGTGATTTACGGAACAGGCTTCGGGAAGAACTATGATATTTTCGACAAGGTCATCCAGAAAAAGCTCAACATTCAGAAGGACGGGCTGTACCTGTACCGCAACGTCATCCCACCTCAGGTGCCGGATGTGGCCTTTATTGGTTGCGAGGTGGCCACCTTCAACAATATCTTGACGCACGGCCTCCAGGCGCTCTGGCTTCAGAAGATGCTCTCCGGCCAGATGCGGCTGCCGAAGCCAGGTTCTATGGAGAAAGCTATCCAGAAGGAGCTTTGATGCTGTCAAGGTTCCCATACCGAGCGTAGGACAACCTGAAAAGACCTCAGTGCCTCTCATCCAATGCAGAAGCCCAAATCATTACCAATACTGATCCTTATGGATCCTCATTAGGTATAGTGATGCTAATTATAAAGGAGTTTTCTTTAAAGCCCTTACCTTGTCCCTGAACCGTGATCCGGAAGGAGCAAGCATGGAAGAGAACATGGATGCCGCCAGCGAGTGCCCGCGCAAGCTTGTATCAGCTACACATGACCAAGTACCACGACATGCTCGTGCAGGACATTGGCGCAAAGCGATTCCGTAAGATGCCGAATTGCTTCGGAGAGCTATTCATGCCTTACACGGCCAGAGATTTTGCTGGCCTGTTCTCGGAAGGCTCTAAGTAGAGCCTGCAAGTTGTTCGGCGTGATTGCACAACACGTGCCCCAAAGAACAGTTTTGATTTGTTATTTGTTCCGCTTACAGACTAATTAGCGAGATCGAGATCTTTAGCACATATCCTGGACAGAGATCTGCCAGTCTGGCTGGTTTCAGTCCGGTTTTAGCTTCCCTTGCAGGCGGCCGCTCGTGTGGCCTGCTTGACCGGACGTGGGTGCGGCGCGAAAAACTGTCAGACAGGGCCTGGGAAGCTGTTCTCGGATCCAACAGGATCTGGTTGTATATACCACTTACACTTATAAAACCTGCTAAATCATGCTGCATTGGATATGATGTATTACAGGCTTCCTGAAACCTGAAGCTTCGCCACGGCAGCATACTTTCCGAGCCCGGCAAGCACTCTGTCTGAGTCCGAGGCATCGTCTGTCGATGTCGCGCTGATCTGTGCCACGGCTGAGCACCAGTGCACGTAGACGCGTAGCTAACAGTTAGAGATGTTGGCGTAGAACTATTTGTGGACCAGGCGTGACCGACCCGCTCGATATCGCCTCTCTGTGGCAGTCGGCGAGGCCTCAAGCGTTCTCTCCCTCAATGAAATCGGGTCAGATCATATATATTGTAGAATAATAAGTATATGTATGTATACATACATACCTACATACCCACATACCTACCTACCTACCTACCTACCTACCTACCTCCCTGCCTGCCTGCCTGCCTACCTACCTACCTACCTACCTACTTACCTACCTACCTGCCTACTTACCTACCTACCTGCCTACCTACATACATACATTCATACATACATACATACATACATACATCATGCGTACATACATGCTTGCATACATACATACATACATACATACACATCCATCCATCCATCCATCCATCCATCCATCCATCCATCCCTCCGTGCGTGCGTGCATGCATGCATGCATGCATGCATGCATGCATGCATGCATGCATGCATGCATGTGTGCATACATCCATGCATGCATTGCATTGCATTGCATTGCATTGCATTGCATTGCATTGCATTGCATTGCATTGCATTGCATTGCATTGCATGCATGCATGCATGCATGCATGCATGTATGCATACATACCATATAACATATAGTGTACAATATGTACTGCATAATACATGGTATAGAATGACAACCTGCTCGCCCTAGAAGCAAGCCCTTAGTCGAAGAGTGGTGCTACTCTGAATGGTTCCCACATCATAGTCGACTGAGATGTTCATGCTCTGGGGTAGTGTTTACGCATGTACGGACGGATGTATGGGTGGATGGATGCGTACATCTCCGTACGCCTACTTCTTCTACAGTATGCACAGTCAAAGTCATGTATCCTTTTTCGACTATCAACACTTGTTGGCCACATTCAGCAACCGACGAATCTAATTACATGGGTTGTTTGAACAGGACGACTCGCCCGGCATGAGATGTGTTGCGGGGTTCATCTTCGAAGCTCGGCACGCTGCATGTCTAGGGCCTCTCGGTGGCCTTGTTCATAAGCCACGGAATGCACCGGACAGGAGGGATCTGAGCAACACGTCTGCGATGGCTTCGAGTGGAGTGGCGGATAGACCAGCCCCTGTGCAAAAGACATCCTGCTTGTTTGCGATAAGGCAGAAGCAGGTACAGACATGGTTTCTTGCAGATTCGAAGCTTTTCTTCAATGTTTGGTCGAAGGCTTCGTTCAACTGTGGCATGTGTGGTCGACGGCCCTCCGAAACCTCCCATGTTCCATGAATACTCTTGCGCACCCTAGGCCCTACACCCTACACCCTAATCTTGGGTCTTGCCGAACCCTGAACTCGGCGAGCCTCGTGAACACCGGTCGCCAGCGCAGGCCACACAATTTAGCGTGCTCCTACCACCTCTTCCCCTGACCGTGGTACGGTAGAATCGCTGATGCAGCTGTTGAGGGTGCTACGCGAATGCACTTCGCAGAATCTTCAAGATACATAATCATTCATGATCATATGATCTACTATAGCACACTCTACTATATTCGAATATATACAACATCTCTCAGTATATTGGGACAAAGTGTAACATTAAAGGATCTCTGTTGTGCTGGCCGTTCCATCAATTCGTCATCTCAACTCTCGTAGGATTTAGGCGTTAGGTTAGTCATGGCTGTGCAGCCGCCGTTGGCTATGGCGATTGCAGGGTCGTGCTGGCCAGCAGTCGGAAGGTGGGGTGCGCCAATGGACTTATGGGGTTCAGTTCGCGCATGGCGCGCTCCTACGGCTTACGGGTTTACGAGTATCATATGTGCCTTGCAATGGGTCACCACGATACCAGTTCTTGTAGCCGTTTGCTTTAGATGTACGGAGATCGTTCCAGTTGGTCGATTCAGGTGGGCAAGATTGGCATAGAATAGAACCATGAAGGATGGGATGCATGTCAACGTCGCTTCGCTTCTTGGGTCCTCCATCTGCTTGGTATTCTCCTTGGATGATGAACCCGCCTTCATAGCAACTCTAGGGCGGCCGGGTGGCTCCGCAGCTCTATATTGATCATATCGGGCTCAGCCACTTGGCTTCCTGCCCTTCTCCAAAATCGATGCTTCTAGCACCTGTCGGCCACAAACTCGCATGAAACTTAGACTTAGACCTCGAAGCCTCGTCGTTAGCTACATGAAGGCATCTGGATGAATAATGACTTCATCGGGATTACGAGCCTCAGCACAAGCCTTAGATCTTAACCTCTGCACCGCCATGCCGAGGACCCGGACTGAGCCAAAGCCAATTATGATTCCCATCTACGCCCCATTAGGGTTTAGGGGCTTAGGGTTTAGGGTTTAGGGCAGACTAAAGAGGCGCAAAGCCAAGCTCTAAACTCTAAACCTCCCATTCGATATCACACCTGCTCTTTCAACATGTTCCTGCACCCCTGGGTCTAGGACACGGCATGATGTAGAGCTGCGACGAAAGGTTCCACCAAGAAAGCCCCTGACATTCAAGACGGACGGTCCGGGCTTCATCCACCCTACGGAAACAACAATACTGCGAGTAGTATTAGTAAGAATAGCAACAATAACAATAGTAATACTGATGACACTGATAATAATACTAATTTTGATACTAAGGCTGACGCGACTAATACTACTGCTACTAGTGATATTAATACCAAACAACTTGCGATAGCCATGACAGTGGCAATAGCAATCACAGTAATGAGAAGAATAGTTAGCGCCCGAGGGCAAGACCTTCAACACCAACTCCGATCCAGAAGCTCCGTTTACAGCTCGAAGCTCTACGGCCTCAGCCAAACAGTGCCCGAAACTCCAAACCTCGAACCCGCGAGTCCGGGTTCAGGGTTTCGGATCTTAGTGGCCTTCATGACACGAGAGATGCTGCAGCTCTACTCCTTGTGAAGCCCTGAAGCTAAACTTTCGAAAGCCCCCAAGCCCTTCAGTTGTCAGGTGCCCAGAAGCCGAAGCCCTGCGACCAAAAGCCCAGGGGACCCTAAGCCTCAACCCTGAATCCTAAAGCCCTAAACCCTAAACCTTAAAGCCCTAAAGCCCTAAACCCCTGAACCTCAAAGCCCTAAGCCTTTAAACCCTACAAGCCCTAAAACCTGGTAGCCCCTGAATCAACCGAGTCCTGAACCCCAAGAGCCTGGAGATCTCCCCCCGGCTCTGAGGGCCTTGTCCTCACCCGGGGGCCTCCGAAACTCGGGTGTGGGCCTCAGGCTTTGAAGTTTGGGGCCCGGGGATCTCGGAGTCCTTTTTGTTTATAAGGGTTTTTTCAGGGCTTAGCAAGCTTAAGTGCTTTAGGGTTTTAGGGTTTAAGAAAAGTTTAGTAAGTTTCAGGGTTTTAGGGATTAGTAAAAGTTTAGTAAGTTTCAGGGTTTAGCAAGTTTCAGGTTTTAGGGTTTTGGGGTTTCGGGGTTGAGTAAGTGTCCGGGTTCAGGGTTTAGGGTTTTGGCCTCCGTCGAGGGCTTCGGGTCCGTGGGGTCTGAACCCGGGACACGACTCACTTCGGCCTCCTGCACGATAAGTTCCTAAACCCTAAACCCTTATTCTCAAACGTTCGTACGAGATCCTTTCTGAAACCTTCTAGGACCACAAAAAACCTGTCAGGAACACCTTTGAAGTGCTTGAAAGTCTTGCTCCAAAACTCCAGGGAGCACTCCCAGCTGTGGCCAGCCAAAGCGTGGCGAGCAATCGGCACACAGGCTCCGCAACTTCAGGGCCATTTTGGGCCATTGGGGAATTTTGGGCCTCTATAGAGCACAGGGTTTGGGGCACGGAGGTTTAGGGCATTGGGTTGATGGCTTTTCGTGTGTCGGCATTGTTGTATAGTTTACGTGTTGAGGATTCGCGGGTGCAGTGGAGGGGGTTTCGGAGTCAGTATTGAGGATTCTGGAGTCCAGAGTACGTATGTGTTTCAAACATTCAATGTTGGAGACGTAGACTTTTCCGGGTTTAAGGTACAGCACGTAGGAGTTTGGATAAGCCGGGGAAAAACGAATTTCGTTTGGGGCCGCTCTTGCTTCTCCAAGGTTCCGAAAACAGACGTTCGGAGCATAAAGGTTTTAAGCTTCGGGGCTTCAAGTTGCATTTTATGGGTCTCAGGTGAAGCTCGTTCGGGTTCAGGAGCTTTGGGGGGTTCATATAGGTACTTCTCTGAATTAGGGTCCCTTGTGGGGTCCTTTTCATAAGGGTGCCGTACTATATTTGGGACCTATACAGGGACCCAGACTTATAGAGAACTACCCACATGTTCACTCGCTTAGTGTATTTATGCAGGTGCATCGTTGTTTTTCCGGCCCAACTCCGAAGCCAGCGCTGAGCTGCAACCGACATGTCCCTAACTCTAACTCCCTCCCCCCCTCCCCTCACAATCATCTAGAGCTAATTTGCTTATTCGTTGGTGTACATCGCAAGATTTTCGTGTCTCCATCTCCAGGCATGTTCGCCTGACCTTAGCCGCAGCGGGCGCAGGGGCTGCAAGGGCGGCGGCTGCAGCAGTCGAGGCGCAGTTGAGGGTACGTTCTGAGTTCTAGGGGAGGTATAGTCATAGTCTGTTGTTATAAGGTTTTTCCTACAGCACAGGGCATACTACGAGTATTATTTCTGTGGTTGATCGTCATTGCTGCTGCCACCGGCACCAACATCCCCACCAACTCCACCGCCGCGGCCACTGCAAGGCGCTGCGACCACCATCTTCTTCACGACCTCGGTCATACTATCATGCACTAGACGCCACCGCCACCAACAACAGCACCATCAGCATCGTCGTCGTCGCTGTAATCAGTCACTGTCACCGTTATCGGCATCGTCATCCCACTAGTCACCAGTAGCCTCGCAATGACCATCAGCAGCCTCGCAATGACCATCAGCAGCCTCACCACCTCAAAAACTTGGAATCACTATAACCGTAAGGCAACCCTAGTGACATCGTACACAGGCAAGAGTTGTGGTAGGATGCTGAATGGAAGACTGGTTCTGTGGAACAGCAGCTTGCTTGTTCGGTCGGAACAGACGACATGAAGTGAATGAACACGGTTCAGTCTTCACTTCTCGTTTCCTCACAGCTTGAAACGATCCTCCCTTCCGTAGTGGTAGGGGTACCAATGCAACCAGAACCAAGAACCCAAAACCTTGAACCGGAGCTGTTCTTGAGGCACCGCCGGTCGAGCGTCGGGCACGAAGGCAGGTTCGACTCCTCAGGTTTAGTAGGCCTAATTCAAGATTTGTCCGAAGACCTCATACAGGGCGTGTGTGGTACCCTATATCTACACTATTGTGAGGCCTACAGCCCTGAGACACGGATGTAAACTCTGCAAAAATCTCGTGGGACCAGTTCTCCTCGGTCGAAGCAGCCCTCCCTCACCTCAACCTTGGTGGAGTGTAACTAGATTGTTGATACAGGGTTTTGGGGGTTGGTATAAGGCCAGAGGATTTTCCCCCAGATAGTTTTAGCCATTACGGGTTCTAGCTAAATAATGGGCCGCGCTGTGTCCACCGCCGCAGGGGGTGCGGCATGCAGTCGGCATGCAGGGTGGGCGCACCGTGTCCGCCGCCGGCGAAGCGAGTGCAGTGGCATGCCGTCGGCATGCAGGTGGGGTGCTCTGTGTCCACCGCCGCTGCAAGGGGTGCAGCGGTATGCAGTCGGCATGCAGGGTGGGGCACGCCGTGTCCGCCGCCGGCGAAGGGGGTGCAGCGGCATGCAGGCAGCATGCAGTGGGGTGCGCCGTGTCCACCGCCGCTTGGGATCACAGAAAGATCAGCCAAATTTCGTTGATTGTTTTTGCCGAGTTTTGGTGATTGATTTTCGGGGCTGACAGCTAGCCAATGCCAGCAACAAGTGCACACGCCAGGTCCCAGACCCGCTCCTGGACCCGCGTAAATTACCACCAAAAATCAACCAAATTTAGACCAGATCTCTCCAAGATAACTACCACCACTTTCATTTTGAAGACTTTTCCCTCC